TATCTAGGATGGTCACTACGGCGATGAGAGCTCCGAAGACGACGAGTACGGACAGCTATTCCGACGACTGTGACGACGACAATGACTACAGCGATCGACACAGCCGGTGCCACAACCAGCACCGCTGCACCTCGCATCTAGCGTAAGTGCTAAAAAAGCTTCAATACGCCGGATTTTTTGTATTCATTGAAACTAGTCCACTTTTAGGCGCTACTATGAGGGCGACGATTGGTTTCAAATCCCAACAGTAAAATGGTCACACGAAAGTTACTACTCAGAACGACACTATATGAGATTCACAGTCAGATAGATAATACATACAGTCAAACATTGCCTTTTTGCGAGCGGAATCCCAGAAATCTCAAGAATCCGAGTTTGGTATTTCCAAACTCTTCAGTAGCTCGTTTATTGTAACGAATTAATTGTCAATCCAATCCAGTAAGAAGGTCGGTTCGGAAATGAAAATTCGGGAATTAAAGGTCATTGCGTTAATAAGAAAGCATGTAATTTGCAGCAAATGAAAGTACTTCATATGCATAAATATGTTATGCAATTGGGTTTATCTACTTCTTAGTCAGTAAACTGCATAAAAGACATAGGAAACTTTGAACAATTGAACCTTACGCTTCACTTCTAGCCACTTCTGAATCAGTGTATTAGCAAAGGCATTTCCACGGGTATCAAGCTTGTAAATCATACATGGACTGCAATTTCCTCATATAAAATTTGGGAACATGCAAATTAGGATGTAGCAAAAATCCAGCTGGAACGCACCAGGGCTTGCAGGTGCGATCATGCGTTTTTGTACCAAACTTGAAATAATTAGGTTAACTGCATGAATGATTGTTGCTTCACACCTACTTTGTGCGTTCAATACCGAAAATCATCGTAAATTTGCATAAACGAAAGTAAACAATTTCAAGCGGTTGTTTTTATGCGTTTTTGCCCATATACAAATTGCAAAAACGCTATTGCAACGATGTGTGTTTGTGTTTGTGTGTGTGTGTGTGTGTGTGTGTGTGTGTG